TTGGTTTCGTTGCAGTCTCCCATCCTGAGCAAGCACAGTGGCAACAGTGGAAAGGAACAACTCTCTTTTAAAAGGAAGAAACCTCCAGCAGAACCAGGCTCAGGACAAGCGGCCATCTGCTTTGACCGGCTGGTTGAGAGGACAGGAAGGAGAGACAGACGAACACAGAATGGTAGGTCCAGGTATAGGTCCAGGTGTATCTGAAAGACAAAATCACATGTTAAGGATAGAAAAAATAATTACAAATACAAAACAGGTTGAGCAGAGTAAGTAAAAACAGAAGTAGAGTGAAAATTGTGGTCAGTTTGTCCTCCAGCAGTCTAAGCCTATAGCAGCATAACTAAGGGACAGCTCAGGAAACCCAAGCCGACCCTAACTATAGGATTTAGCAAAAAGGAAAGTCTTGAGCCTAGTTTTAAAACTGGATAATGTGTCAGCCTCACGGACAGAGATTGGAAGTTGGTTCCACAAGAGAAGAGCCTGATAATTAAAAGATCTGCCTCCCATTCTGTTTTTGTAAATTCTAGGAACCACAAGTAAACCTGCAGTCTGAGAGCGAAGTGCTCACTTAGGAAAATATGGAACAATAAGATCTGTAATATAAGATGGAGCCAGGTTGTCGAGAGCTTTGTAGGTTAGAAGTAAGATTTTGAATTCTATTCTGGACTTGACAGGGAGCCAATGGAGAGAAGCTAAAACTGGAGAGATATGATCTCTCCCAGTAACTCCAGTTAAGACTCTGGCAGCAGCATTTTGGATCAACTGAAGACGTTTTTAATGAACATCAAAGTTCATGCTCCATCATCCAGGTACAAAATCCATTAATGGTCAGTTAGGTCATCTGGACAGTTTCTTTTTTGTGGAAAGATGTTTCAATGGATGAAAGACTTTTTAATGAAGTTTGTGGACAGCCAGATAGTAAACAATTGTAATAGTCCAACGTAGACGTGATAAATGCATGAACCAGTTTTTCTTCATCATTTTTAGATGAGATGTTTTTAATTTAAGTGATATTACGCAGGTGGGGGAAAGCTGGACACTAGCATGTCCTGATCAAAAATGACACCAAGATTTTTAACTTTAGAATTGGAGGCCAGATTAATGTCATCCAGACAAAGTGAAAGACTGAAAAAAATATTCCCAAGATGCTCAGGTCCAAAAACTACAATTTCTGTCTTGTCTGAGTTTTAAAGCAGAAAATTGAGGATCATCCAAGTTTTTATGTCTTTAAGACATGCTTGTAATCTAAGTAACTGATTGGATTCACTGAGTTTCATGAACAAATAAATCTGTGTATCATCAGCATAACAATGAAAATTTATCTCAAGTTGTTTAATGGAAGCGTATATAAAGTAAAGAGTACTGATCCAAGCACTGATCCCTGAGGAAACACAACGGTACTTCTTCCAGCTTTTTAATTATCGTGTATCGGCTCAGTCTTAGGACCCACCCTCTTCACAGTCTACATATGTAGGTCATTCCTCATGCATTCTTACATTTTTTTCTGATGAGTAGTTTATTGTTGAGCTAAAACAGTTGCTAAGATTTTCCAGGTTTTCCAGTCTGCATTTGACGTCATCAGATTTATTCCATGTCAAACCGTTGTTAAATACTGATAAAATCAAAGGGATGTTGTTTTCAAACAGGAAGCCGTTACCAGCAGTCCTTCCTTCTATCTTATCTACAAATGGTGTTCCTATTGAGTTTGTCAATTCTTACAAATACTTGGGTATCTTGGTCAACTCACATCTCTCTTTTAAGGTTCATGTCAAGAAACTGAAAGTTAAACTGAGTTTATTTTTCATAAATAGATCCAGTCTAACTCTGAATGCTTGAAACAACTTGTAACTGTGACTTTCCTTCCCTCCATTGATTACGGTTACATTCACATGAACGCTCCTACAAGCACCCTTCAGATGTTGGATGCTGTCTATCATGGTGCACTAAGATTCATAACTGGCTGTAACTATCATACCCACCACTGCACCCAGTATTCACTGGTTAACTGGACATCATTAACTCTCACTGCTACATTTTCATTTTTAAATCACTTCTTGGTCTGCTGCCTTCATACATCTCCTCCTACATGTCTCTGCGTGAGTGCAGTTACAGCGTGCGCTCTCAGGACATCATTACCTGCAGTGTTCCCTCAATGAGGACTGAACTTGGCACAAGGACCTTCTCCTACTCCGCTCCTGTTTCCTGGAATATCTTGTAAAAAGACATGAAGTTCTCGACCTTGACCTCTCTAAGTGATTTTAAACAAGTTGAATGCAAAAATCAATGCAGACATGTTCCTTTTTACTTACCTTGTTTTATATGTAGCTTTAAAAAAAAAAAAAAAAAGTTTTATATCACTTCTTTTTACTTTTCATTTTAAACACTTTTATGTGAATGTTTATTACCGAGTGTACCTCATCTGTGGTTTTTGTTTAAAACAGCTCTGGGTCCTTGTGACTCAATGAGACTAACCAGTTTAAATAAAGGTTGAATGAGTCCAATGGTCCTGTCTAACCTTTGACCTTTACCCTGCAAGCAAGGTCTGATCTGAGAGGAAAAATTCTGACGTCAACTGTTAGAAAGATGCAGCCATCTTAAATATGAACTTTTTTTTCTCTTGATGACTCCAAATAATTTAGAAATTACCTTTAAGCCTTTCCAGAATAATTATTCTTGAGCAGCAAGTTGTTTCAAGCTCATAATTTTTTGTACTATTACAAGTACATAAACATTTATTCTCTGTGTTTGAGGTTTATTTGTAATTCAGATGAGACTCGGAGTAGAACCGCTGCTCTTCCACATCGAGGAGCCAGCTGAGGTGGTTCAGCATCTGGTAAGGATGCTTCCTGGGCGCCTCTGGGAGGTGCTCCCGGCATGTTCAACTGGGAGGAGACCCCGGGGAAGACCCAGGACACACTGGAGATGCTTTCAGTTGGCCTGGGAACATCTTGCAGTCCTCCCAGAAGAGCTGGAAGAGGTGGCTGTGGAAAGAGATGTCTGGGCCTCCCTGCTCAAGCTGCTGCCTCCGAGACCCGACTTCAGGACAAGCAGAACATGGATGGATAACTCATGAACTTCATCTGTCAGCAGGTGTCCAAACTCCAGTTTCACAGAGAAAATATGTAGAAACAAAATGGGTGCATCTGCCTCGTCCACCTACATGTGTATCAGCATGGCTGACACGGCTGCAGACATCACCTGATGGACTTTCCACTAGAGCCAGTTCAGTCTGAACTACTGTCAACAGAAGTGTCAAAACAAAACTCAGAGGTCTCTTCATGATCGAGGCCCACAATGTGAAAAGCAAAACTTGGTGAATCAGTAAAAACGAAGCAATCGTCTAATTATGGCACACTCCAGTCTGTTCAGATCCAGGGGAGTCTTTCTGGACAGTCAGGCGCCAGAACACCGGCCTGGAGATGTGACAAACCCCACAGCGATGTGGACAAAACACTCGTCACAGAACTGAACAGACTTGTGTAACAGTTTAAAAATGCAGGTACAAGATGTAAACCACAACACACACGCCCTGCTCAGGTATCCTACACACTCCCATTCACACCCCTCGAACAGAAACACCTGCCTCTCATGGAAACAGCTTCCACCCGACTAACCCATTAATTCATCTGTAAATAACACGGTCGCCTCATGTGAAAAAGAAAACGTGAATGAAGGCAAGAAAACTATTCGGTGCAGCTATATTTTAATAATCACAGGCGTGGAGACTAAACCAGTTTTAAATCCAGAGCGACTCCAAACAGAGCTGTGTCAAGCTGACGGAGCGTCCACGCTCTTTAAAACACGCAATGAAAGGAAACGAAGTCCAACAGTCCGAGCTGGTCCGTCAGTGATGAGAGCGGCGTCGGTGGAAACAGAACAGAACCTCCGTAAACACAAAACTTTCATCTTGCTCAGAGTGGACCAACAGGTGGTGCGACAGAAGCTGCTGATTTCTGCAGCTTCGCCTCTGAAAAGATGAAAACACGCAGGAGACGACTGAAAAGAGCCGCGTTTTCATCCTGAGGAGCCTCGTCTGACGGGACATTTCATCTGAATGAATGCAAACAAAAAGCTGGCAGATTATTTCTGACCAGAACTTCATAATCTCACGAAATAATCCTCCAAAGAGCCAAAGCACGCAACAGAGCCAACTCAGAAAAATAAATTACTTTGATTTATCACAATGTTTCACCGCTTCCTGTAATCTGAGGGGAAGTGATCGACATGTGGCAAAATGTTGGATTAAAAAAAGAAAAGTCCGAGAAGCTTCAGCAACATTCTCGCAGCAGAATTATCAAATGTTCTGAAGAGATGCAAAAATATAACGGCAGGACTGGGTCCAAGTTAAAGATTACAGCAAAGATGAGGAAAATTACTAATAAGAGAAAATTAGCAAGTTTTTTTTTTATATATATATATTAGTTTTGAGATTAAAGTGAATGTATTGTCAAAAAAATGTTTAAATGTTGAGGAAACAAAAAGTCGTCTTCCAGAGGATGTAACCACTCTCAGTCATTTCATTCGTTGTTTTTGTATCCGATAGGAAGTGGTGTACTTTTACTACGTTAAGTACAAAAGTATGTCCTTCACAATAATCTGAGCCAGGTTCAGCAGAAGTGGGGCCAGGTTAGTCTTGAAAGATATTTCTGCTGTTCACACTGCACCCCCCCCCCCCCCACACACACACACACACACACACACAAATTATTTTGACTTCGGTCAATGCTTAATGATCAAATATGAAAACTAAATAAATCAAATCTTGTTTTTTCTGAGGACCCTAATCGTAGAAGGTTCAGGAACGTTTCATGCTGCTGAGGCGACTCCAGCTTCAGCTTGAAAACTGCTGAGTCAGGAAAAGTATAATCTACATGGTTATAGAACAGGAAGCTCAGAAAGCCACACACTTGAACTAGACGTTAAGGTCATTGAGTGCGTGTGGCGTTCAGTGAACACTCTGTTCTGATGGGATCGTCACACAAACAGAAGATCAATCATGATGCTACTGAAAAATGATTTAATTCTTTAAACATCAGGTTCTCTTTGTCGTCTTCACACCTGCACGTTCCTCCCATTGTGCAATCAGGCACTACAGATGATAAACTTTAAAATGGAACTGAAGTGACTCCAGCGGACAAATGAACCGGGTCCGGGTGGTTCTGAGAAACCCGGGGCCTCGTTGCCGTCCAGCGACGAGTCTTCGGCTTAGCTGCCGAAGCCAAAGATGCCCTTGATGTAGCCGGTCAGGCCGCCCTTGCCCTTCTGCTCCACCTTGTCGTCCAGCGGAGGGAAGGTGGCGTGGTTCAGGGCCAGGTCGAAGAACAGAGGCTTGATGGGGATCGGCTGGAAGTCTGGAGGGAACTGGACCAGATTGGGCTTTTTTCCAACGAGAGTGTTGTCCAGACGGAAGGTGTCCAGGTGGTCGCACAGAGGCTGGGGGGGGGGGGGGGGCAAAAACAGAGGGGGGTAAAGACGTCGACAGTTTATGAACACAGCAGAAACAGTTCATTCAAAGGAGTTCATCAAACACCAAAGTTCATTAATCCAGGTTCAGTCAGGACATCTGGACGGGTTCTTTTGTTGCAGAGACGTTTCGTCCTTCATCCAAAAGACTTCTTCAATCTGAGGAGCCACCAACAAACTGAGTCCCACAAACAGCATACTACCATAATGGAAAAAAAAAACAAAAAAAAAAACAGTTTGCTGGTGCCAAGATGGCCTCCGGGGCCCGCCCTCTCCTCTGAGACAGTCATGCCCAACTGGTTCAAAACACCAAAGTTCATGCTCATTACAGTCCAACAGTGTTCAGTCAGGTCATCTGGACGGTTTATTTTGTTGCCGAGACGTTTCGTCCTTCATCCAAAGGACTTTCAGAGGAGTTGACAGGGGAGAGGGCGGGCCCCGGAGGCCAACTTGGCACCAGCAAACTAGTTCTATTTCATCCCTCCTGACCGCCAGAGGGCGGTGCTGAAAGCACTGAATGTTCCCTTCGCGCATGCGCTGATTCGAGTAATAATACCAACGGAGTCACAGGTGTGACACGGATGACCAATCAGAGGCTATATAGCCCGACGTCATCCGCTGCTCTGCTCCTTTTTTCTTCTCGCGCGCGGTTCAATTCAGGGCTTCAGCCCTTTGGACCTTTTCTGAACTTTTTACCGTCGTCGGAAGCCCGACTGCCCGTCTGCGGGAGTAGCGTGTTCCCCCTCCTAGGGCTGCGACGGTTTAACCCTGTTCAAAGGTATTTCTGCTGTTTCGTTGGGGACTACGGCGGTTTCCGCCTATCCCAAATTACAGCGTATGACTACTATGTGTGTGATTCAACACCGGTGAGTAGTTTTTCTTATATTTCGTCGTTGGTTAGCGGTAGCGTTCGCTCCGCTCACGCTTGTTGGGAGACCTCCAACCGCGTGGTCGGCTGGACTGTGCTCTGACGTTGTTTATGACTACTATGTGTGTGATTTAACACTGGTGAGTAGTGGTTTTTTGCTTATATTTTGCTATTGGTTAGCAGTAGCGTTCGCTCCGCTCCTGTTTACTGGAGGCCTCCAACCGCGTGGTCGGTTGGACCGTGCTCCGAAGTTTGTTTATTACGTAGCCAGCTGAGTTCCTGGCCTTGTTTTATTTGGTGAAGGCGAGTGTTCTCACCCCCTCTCCCAATTGTCCTCTTACCAGCTGAGCTAGCGGTGCTAGCCTCTCTGAGTTTTCACTTCGTTTTAATTGGTGAAGGCGAGTGTTCTCACCCCCTCTCCCAATTGTCCTCTCTTACCAGCTGAACTAGTGGTGCTAGCCTCTCTGAGTTCTAACCTTGTTTTAATTGGTGAAGGCGAGTGTTCTCACCCCCTCTCCCAATTGTCCTCTCTTACCAGCTGAACTAGTGGTGCTAGCTTCTCTGAGTTCTAACCTTGTTTTCATTGGTGAAGGCGAGCGTTCGCGCCCCCTCTCCCAATTGTCCTCTTTTACCAGCTGAGCTAGTGGTGCTAGTCTCTCTGAGTTTGGCCTTGTTTTGATTGGTGAAGGCGAGCGTTAGCGCCCCCTCTCCCAATTGTCCTCTTTTACCAGCTGAGCTAGTGGGGCTAGCCTCTCTGAATATCTTGGGCATAGCTGGGTAAGGAGTATGGACGGCTCTCACTGCTGTACAGTCTGTGGAGCCATGCTCCAGACAGATGACGGTCACGACCTGTGTCCTGCCTGCCTTGGACATGACCATCTGGTGGATGCCCTGTCAGAGAACCCCTGCATGAATTGCAGCTTCATGTCGCATGCTGTGAGGATGGCCCGGCTGGCCCAGTTTCGCCCCAAACTCGGCGATGACCTCCCGCCTTCTGGGCAGGAGGCTCCACCTAGGCGCTCGAAGCGCCGGACTGAGGCCGCAGTCTCTGTGGCCCCTCCTGGGAAGAAGCGAGCCAGGTCTGATAGGGGCCTCTCCACAAGGGTGGAGCAGCTCTCCGCTGAATTAGCGGAGATGAAGTCCCTTTTTCAGGTACGCCAACTGGGAACTGAACCAGTGGCAGCAACCGGACTCTCCTCCCCACCCATGCCTGAACTGGCTGTGGAGGAAGATGTGCTATCCTTGGCTGCCTCTGCCTCTCACTTTTTAGGTGAGGAGGACGGGCATTCATCGCGAGTCTCAGAGACAGCTTCACTCTCTTCTTCTCGGAGTGCAGTTAGTGGGTCGGGTGACGGCTCGATGCAGGACGTCATGCGTTTGGCCCTGAGACAACTGCAGCTGGACGTCCCGCAACCAGAGGCGTCCACCCCTGGAAGTGCCTTCTTCAGGCGCGGACTGGCCCCTCCTTCCTTTTCTGTCCCTCCATCAGAGGAGTTCCTGAGGGAGTTGCATGGTTGCTGGCGGGACCCCAAAGCCTTCGCGCGCCTCTCTGCAGATGGCAGAGTGTTGGCGGCCATGCATGAGCCAGCTGCAGCAGGCTTGGATCGCATGCCAGCGATAGAACCTGCTGTTGCCTCTCTCATCGTGTCACCAGAAGAAGCTCTGCGCAGTCATGTTCGGTGCCCACGAGCTCAGTGTCGTGTCACGGATGAATTCCTCTGCAGAGCCTATGCCGCCGGAGCGCGTGCTGGCCGCCTAGGTAATTCCTTGGCACACCTAATGCTTGCCCTCTCCGCGTCCCTTCAGGGGACTAGTGGTGCGACAGCAGCAATGAGCTTTAACGATGCAGCGCTGCAGGCCTTTGCACTAATGACGAGGGAGCTTGGGCGCGTGATGTCCTCCTTGGTCCAAGCTCGCCGACAGGTCTGGTTGGCGCAGTCAGCATTGACTGAGCCATGCCGTAGAGCCCTCCGTAATGTCCCAGTGGTGCCGGGGGAGTTGTTCGGTTCGGCTGCCTTGGAAGCACTGGAACGGACTGTCCAGGCACGACAGAGAAGGCAGCAATTTTCGAGCCTTAGCAGGCCAATGCCCCCTCCTCGGCATCCAAGGCGCCTGTCGGCTGGCTCCAGCATGCAGCCGCCGCCTGGGGGTCATAACCGGCCGGGTGGTCCTTACCCTCATGCGGTTCAGCAAAGGCCCAGCAGGAGCTTTCGTGGGTCGGTCCACCAACCAGCTGGGCAGGTTCGGACCAGGGACTCTGGCTGCCGCCCCCCCATGGCCCCTAGGGGCCGTAGAGGGAGACGGTGATGCCATCAGACCGACCGTCGGATATTTCTCCCCCCACCAGCAGCTCAGCTATTGGGTTGCTCACACCGTGGACCCATGGGTGGTTGCCACTCTGACCCATGGTTACCGGCTACAGTTCCGACGGCGGCCTCGTATCTCATGCCGGGTCAAGATGACTGTAATCGCCGACCCGGTGAAAGCTCAAGCACTAGACCAGGAACTTTCCGCCCTCCTGGCCAAGGGCGCAATAGAGGCAGTGGACCCTCTGCAACAACCCAGGGGCTATTACTCGACTTACTTTCTTGTGCAAAAGAGGACGGGCGGGTTTCGTCCCAGTTTAGACCTGAGGGGACTCAACCAGTACCTAAAGGAGCTGCCCTTCCACATGCTCACAACAGCAGAAGTCCTTCAAGCTGTCATGAGGGAAGAATGGTTCACGTCTGTAGACCTGAAGGATGCATATTTTCATGTGCCTATTGCGGCAGAACATCGCCGCTTTCTCAGGTTTGCCTATCGGGGTCACCACTGGCAGTTCCGGGTACTCCCATTCGGGCTCTCTCTCTCCCCAAGGGTGTTCACTCGGTGCGTGAAGGCAGCCCTCTCTCCTCTGCAGGCCTGCGGAGTGAAGATTCTGCCGTACTTAGACGATTGGCTTCTCTGCGCCCCGTCTCAGGCCTGTGCCTTTCACGACACAAACCGCCTGCTCGCTCATATGTCCCAGTTGGGCCTCAATGTCAACCTGGAGAAGAGCTGCCTGATCCCTTCCCAGATGACCACCTTTCTTGGGGTGGTTCTGGATTCATCTTCCATGAGAGCTCGCCCATCCGCTCAAAGGGTGGCCGGCATACTCCAGCTGGTCAATCGGTTCAGGCTGGGCAGGCAGCTCCCCTATGTTGCCTTCCTGCAACTACTCGGCAAGCTGACATCAGTCACTCGGGTGGTGCCCTTAGGCCTGCTGTCACTTCGCCCCTTGCAGAGGTGGCTCAACAGCTTTCACCTGGATACCAGGCTGCACAGGCATCGCAAGCTCGCAGTGACGTGGTCATGTCTTCATGCCTTGACTCCATGGAGGGACGGAGATTATTTGTCCAGGGGTGTCCCCATGGGAGTGGTAGTGTGTCGCAGGGAAGTGATCATGACAGATGCCAGCTCCATGGGATGGGGGGCTGTATGGCAACGCAGAGCGGTTCAGGGCCGCTGGGGTCAAAGAGACCATTCCAAGCATATAAATGTGCTGGAGCTGCGTGCAGTGCACTTGGCACTCAGGCACTTCCTGCCTCACCTAGAAGGGAGGCATGTACTTGTTCGGTCAGACAACACCTCTGTTGTCTACCACATCAACCATCAGGGGGGCACCAGGTCAGCACAACTTCTGAGAGTGTCCAGAGAGCTCCTGGAATGGGCCTCTCCTCACCTGTCCACCCTGCGGGCAGCGTACTTACCAGGGCGACACAATCAGGTCGCAGATTTTCTCTCCCGCCAAGAGTTCCCTCCGGGAGAGTGGTCCCTCCACAGCGACATAGTGCTGATGATCTGGGACCGTTTTGGTCAGGCAGAGATAGACCTGTTTGCGACGGAAGAGTCGACTCAGTGTCCCCTATGGTACTCTCTTACGGGGGCGTCGGGTGCGCTAGGCCAGGACGCATTGGCTCATCCTTGGCCAAGGGTCCTTCTATATGCCTTTCCACCCCTTTCTCTAATTTGGCCAACCCTTCAGAGAGTCCTCGAGGAGGGCCACAGGATGCTGCTGGTGGCTCCATATTGGCCAGCGCGACCATGGTTCCCACTGCTACGAAGTCTATGTCAGGGCGTCCCATGGTGTCTTCCGACCAGAAGGGACTTGCTGTCTCAGTTGGGGGGACTGATATGGCACCCCAATCCTCAACGTCTTCAGCTGTGGGTGTGGCCACTGCAAGGCTAGGACAGCAGCTGACTGGAGTTTCGAGCCCCGTCAGACGCACCATCCTGGGCGCCAGGGCACCCTCTACTCGTCAGCAGTACGAAAACAGGTGGCGCCTGTTTTCCCAATGGTGTTCTGATCACAACAAGGATTCAGTCTCCTGTACAATACCCACCATTCTGGAGTTTCTCCAGTCTCTACTTGGTAAGGGTCGCTGTCCTTCGACGCTTAAAGTTTATGTAGTGGCAATATCATCTAATCACGCTGGCATTGATGGCTGTACGGTAGGGAGCCATAATCTAGTCTCTCTTTTTCTGCGTGGTGCCCGTAGGTCACACCCGCCGACAGCTCCACGAGCACCAGGTTGGGACCTTCCCTTGGTTCTCGAAGCTCTGTGCCGTCCTCCTTTCGAGCCTCTGTCGCAGGCGGACCTCAAGTGGCTTTCATGTAAGACGGCTTTTTTTGTTGGCTATTACCTCAGCAAAGAGGGTCAGCGAGCTACATGCTCTCTCAATCAGCCCCTCATGTCTCAGGTGGGGCCCTGAGGGCTCGTGTGTTACCTTGTGGCCAAACATTGCATTCGTACCAAAGGTGTTATCTCACTCTCACTCTAACCAACCGTTGAGGCTGGCACGTTTTCAGCCTGCGCCTGGTGAGGGGTCTGCATTATTGTGCCCGGTGAGGGCACTGGAGGCATACGTTGCAGCTACTGCCGTGATAAGACATTCAGACCAGCTGTTTGTGTGTTATGGAGGCCCTAGGTTAGGCTGTCCTCTTTCCAAACAGCGCCTCTCCCACTGGATCGTGGACGTCATCTGCCACGCCTATGCTGCAGGGCCCGGCCCCCTGCCGGTCGGCTTGAAGGCTCACTCTACCAGGAGCGTCTCCGCTTCCTGGGCTGCCCTGAGAGGGGTTCCGCTGGAAGCAATATGTGCTGCTGCATCATGGGCTTCCCCAAGCACGTTCACCAGATTTTATAGAGTTAACGTGGCCACCCCTCATCCCCTGGGCCAGGTTCTTCTACAAGGGTCCTCTGGGCCTCCTCAGTGAGGTAAGTGTTTAGGATTCCTTGTGACATCGTTGGTATTAGTCATTCAGTGCTTTCAGCACCGCCCTCTGGCGGTCAGGAGGGATGAAATAGAACGAAAGTTACGTATGTAACTATGGTTCTATGAATCCCGGATGACCGCCAGAGCTTCTCCGTCACTCAGAATCCTTGCGTTCCACGAGAAGATTCTGTAGGAGCAGAGCAGCGGATGACGTCGGGCTATATAGCCTCTGATTGGTCATCCGTGTCACACCTGTGACTCCGTTGGTATTATTACTCGAATCAGCGCATGCGCGAAGGGAACATTCAGTGCTTTCAGCACCGCCCTCTGGCGGTCATCCGTGATTCATAGAACCGTAGTTACATACGTAACTTTCGTTTTATCCACTATGGGAGTGTGCTGCTTGTGGGACTGGGTTTATTGGTGGCTCCTTAGATTGAAGAAATCCTTTGGATAAAGGATGAAACATCTCAGAAAAAAAAAAAAGAAACCGTCCAGATGACCTGACTGAACATCAGTTCATTAAAGTATCCGTCCCTTTAAGAAACATTTCTGCCAGTTTGAAGCAGGTTGATGTGGCACCACCATCAGTCCCTGACGCCTCTGCAGATTAACCTGCTTCACGTAATCTCTGCACAATCTGTGAGTGGAATGAAGCGCTGCAGTGTTTGTGCTCTGGGTGTGTCTCTTGGTTTTGTCCTCTTACCGTGCTGTCTTTCACCTGCTGCTGAGTGGACACTTCAGGAGGCTCGTCAGTGTCTAAAACACAAGCACATTTCCTCAGGATGGGATGAGCCGAGCACAGCACAAACACAACAGCCAGTTGATGCAGGAGCCCTCACCTAAAATGGCAGCAGCTTGAAGTGAGTATTTCTCTGCATTGACCTCAGCGATGAGCTCCTGGACATCAGGGAGATCCTACACAGTCAGCGTGAACATCAGTGAGCAGCTTTTTAAACCGGGAGCAACAAACCACGTTTGTACCGACCTTGAGGCTGTTGTTCAGACCCTTTGCTTTGGACTGGACCTCCTTAGCGTATTTCAGCACCCTCTCATACAACACCAGCGCCTCACTCCACTTCTTCACCAGCACATACGACTGAGCTATGAAGAAGCACCTGAGGAGAGAACGACACATTAATAAAACTCAACTACAGCGAACGACCAACGCTGGTGAAAGACGTGTGCAAAGCTGACCTGTAGGCCTTGTAGACCAAAGTCTTCAGAGACACCTCCTTCTGGAAGGAGTGGTCTTCCTCAAGCCCCTGCAGGGTGGAGAGCTCAGCCAGACTCTGAGGAGGAAGTGGACAGACGGGTAGAAAGAGTGAGGATTACACCAAAACACTTGCTCGTACAGCTAAAACCTGCTGACCGTGACTGTTTTTAACGTTTATTAAACATTCACACTGTTGAGATCCTGTTTAGATTTCTTATTGTTACGACCCCCACTCCGTTTCTTTAGCATCCATCTCGTCCTGCAGTTTTCTAAACACATATCCAAACGTTCAGCTCCTTCAGGACAATCCTGCTATGACTGCATGTATTGGTGCAACTTTAGCTTTTTGAAATATTTAGCCTTTTCTGTTATTGTTTCTTCTCAGAAAATGAATTAGAGCTCATTTTACATCCTTCACATCTGTTTACAACCTTTTACTGCTCCTTTCACATTTTGTTCTGCGTCAGCTTTCTTCTGCAAATTTAAACTTTTTCAGATAATTTCCACTATTTTTGTGCTCTTTTCAGAATATTTCTGACAATTTCAGCTTTTTTTGTTATTTCAGCTACTACTGTATTTAGCTGTTTTATGCTAATTTGAGCTTTTTCAGCTAATTCTACAGTTTTTGCACTCGTTTCAACCTTTCTCAGCCCAATTCAGCAAAAATGTGCTCTCTCAACTTCCTTCTGGTACTTTAAGCTTCTTTCTGCTTATTTAGCTACTATTCAGCTGGTTTTTTTTGGCAAATTTCAGCTTTTTTCAGATAATTTCCACTTTTTTGTGCTCATTTCTGCTTCTTTCAGCCTAATGAGGTAAAATTGTGCTCTCGCCACTTCCTTCCGTTAATTTAAGCTTCTTTCTGCCGATTCAGCTACTTTTCAGCTATTTCTTGCTAATTTCTGTTTTTTTAAAGCTAAATTACAAACTTTTATGCTCATTTCAACCTAATTAAGCAAATGTGTGTTCTCCCTGCTTTCTTCTGCTAACTTAGGCTTGTTCTTCCATTTTAGCATGTTTTTAGTTAATTTCAGCTGTTTTTCAGCAAGTTCTTCAGCACTGTATTTTCACAGGAAATACACTTTCTCTAGTTGTCCACTGCCATAAATACAACGAGCTCTAAAGGTCTTACTGAGATGTGAATGTTGGAGACTAGCTGGGGAGCAGTGTTTGCAAAGGAGTCTCCAGATGTGTCACAGCACACATGCAGATGTTCTCAGTTTCCTTGTGCAAGTTGATAAAGTGTGCGGTTTTGTTACTTGACTTTGGAGCATATTCAGAAAACAAACTTGTGACAAATTTGTTCTCAAAGTGACAGATGCTCTGGGTATTTTAAACTCATCTTAAGGAGAACTGGAGTTGTTTTGGAAATAAAAACTCTTCTAAATGAGCCCATCTTCATTTCTAAAGCAGATTCCAGCAGATTAGATCTTACACGTGGGGGTGGTGGGTCTGATGTGGACAGAAGAGGGCAATAAAATATTGTGCACGGCCTACTGAAGGTTTGTATGTGAAAAATGAGCTGTGATTGTTAAAAACTGGCTTCATAAAACACACCACACGGCTTTGAATTCAGTGAGGCTGTAATAAAACCTTTTGTTCTCCCTCACAGCTGGTCTCCAACCATCACAGCCCAATTAGAGACCACCACAAGACATCACACCAGAACTCACAGCTTCACGTGAAATCACATTATTTTATGTCCAAAACGATGAGAACTTCAGAGGCTGATGTATTTAAATGTTTTGACTAAAATACATTGAGAGTACAGTTATTTTTTTAATACAGACCTAGCACACACATTATAAATGTATTCAGCATCCAGATGTTTACCTGCAGGATGATGTCGTACAGTCGAATGAGATCTTGGGGACGTGGCCCCCTCTTGTTCTCGTCGGCTTCGGTCTCCTTCAGTTTGGCCTGCAGAGTGTGAGCCATGCTTTCATTCCTCTTCACCAGCGTGCACAGCTTGATGTAGGTCAGGTAACTGAGACAGAAGAGCGCCACAGATCAGGTGAAACATGGAAATCTTACAACCCTCACATTCTGTCAGCGTGCTGTTGGGCTGAGGGCAGACTTCAACACATTACAACACATTTTTACAACAGTATATTTCTATGAGCTCGACTCTGTGCAGGTAATACACCCACTTATAACTCGGTTCTTGGGACGTATCCAACCCAACGAGTCGAGCTGAACATTACAGACGGAAGGACAACGTCTGGAAGTCAATCCTGAGAGTGTCTCCTACACAAGAATCAAACCCACAACTTTTAAAACCACTTTGGGCTCATAACTGTAACTACCGTACCATCACTGCACTCTGTACTCCTTGGTCAGTTAGTCATCATCTACACGTAGGCTCTCACACTGGATCATCATCTACAAATCCCTCCTGGGTTTGTTACCTTCTTATATCTCTCCTACACGTCACATCGTCAGTGCAGTTACAACGTGCGCTCTCAGGACATCATTACCTGCAGCGTTCCCTCACTGTGAACTGAACTTGGCAAAAAGGTCTTTTCTTACTCTGCTCCTGGAACACCTTGCAACAATATATGAAGTTGTCCACTTTGATTTCTTTAAGAGGTTTTAAACATTTGATAATGTTCAATGGAAACATCAAAGCAAATATGTTCTTGTTTTTAATATTTACCTTGTTTTATGGCACCTTGACTTATTGTTTTTATAACTACTTTTATTTTTAATTGTTTTGTGTTGAACATTGTCATCTGTACTTTATATGCTCTGTCTGAATCAGGTATCTCTTGTAAATGAGTCCTTGTGACTCAGTAAGACTAACCTGTAGAAATAAAGGTTGAATGAACGAAAAACAAAAACAACATCTTGAAACCACAGCACTCGATTTGTAATTTACTTTGTTTTTCTTTAAATGTACAATTTACCCAATAAAATGACAACAAGTAAACAAGCATCGTGGTTCTGAGGACGCTGATGTGCTTGATGCTGACGACAAGAGTTTCGTACCACTTTACAATAAGGCTCCCTTATAGATGGCTAAAAAATTGTTTATAGATACAGTATTAATTCCTCTACAAACACTTTATAAATAATTAATAATTATGTAGGGTTCTAAGGGTAGCTTTAGCTGCCCTTGACTACAATATATTTAAATAACGGGTTCTCTCTTTTTCGATTTAAATTACAGCCATGTGACAGAGGTAACTGTGCGGAGATTGTTAATCAGTGACACTGAGACGTTAATTTTCTTTGACCCATCAGAATAAATGTGGTCATTTGTTTAACAGAATCAAAATTTAACATCAAAATGTACAAGTGATTAGCTGATCTGGTTCTGATTAATAAAACTTGGCACGTTTTACTTAATAAAAACAACAGACATTTCTGAAGGTATCTAGATTAATTACTGGCAAAATAGAAGAGATTAAAGATGGGAAATGAAGGAGTTTAAAGAGGAGGATTTAGATGGATGAAGGAAAGGGTGCGTCTGTTTGGACCGCAGAATGGCACGCTCCCTTCAACACCAGCTCAACTCTCCGGTACACTTCAGGACGTGCAGAGACTTCGTTACCTTAGACGGGGATACCTCCGCTCAGGAACAGGAGTCCATTAGTACGATCCTTTTACAGCGTCTCCGGGCAGTGGCTGGGAAGGAACAGGAGTCGTGCCGGTCACTCCGTTAAACAGAACCAGCTTCCTTCGAGGTTGTAGGGCATTATGCCTGGGAGGGTTCACAGCGAGGCGATGTGACTCTGTCAGAGGTTCCACTCAGATGTGGAAGACTCCATAGTCCCAACTCGACTCAGAAGACTGAAGACCGACTCAAGACTGAGAGACCCAGTTGACCTGAGAAGTTCCAGGAAGTGTGGACTCTTATGCACCTTTTCCATTAGTACCTGTAGTACCGGTACAGCACGGCTCTACTCTACTCGGTATGGTACAGGTTGTGTTTCCATTATGCTTTCAGTACCGGTTCCAGTGGGCGGGGTTCAAATTGACGTCACCACCTCTCACCAGCTGGTGGCGCTGAGACGCTGAAACTGTTTTCAGTACAGGTTGAGAATTTATGTTATTTTGAAGTTGTGTGTATGTATGTATGTACATATATATATATATACATATATATATATATATATATATATATACACAATATATATATATATATATATATATACACACACATATATATTTATACACACACACACAAA